AATGTAATAAACGTTATGATTTCAATTTCCCTATCGTAAATTTGCCATTTTTATAGCAATATCCTACATCTCCAATCTATGGTGTTAACATGTTACAGTTGATTTGATATTCAAGGACTTTTTCTCATTATCACGATTTTTGCGCAAGATGTCGTCAAGTGACTGACAAACTCGTAACACAAGGTTTCAAAAGATGCATGTTGATGCCAATTATTGTGGTCGCCATAGTGATTTCATTGAAAAAAGTTTGTTTTCTTTGTGTGACTTGAAGCTGGACGTATTAGTTTGCCTGTTGTTGTGTACCTTGTTCTTATTTGAGAACGTGACATTACTTACCTGAATTGACCATGGTTTACATGATGGGTGTTGTCGATGAAGCTGAAAACTCTTCAGGAACATCTGCTCCTATTATCCTTATACTTTTTTCAGGAGTCTCCGTGTAATTTTTGTTCATATTTTGCCCTAGTTTTATGAAATGTGAGAGTTTAAGTATTGATGATGTTCCCATGTTTGATTTTTCTATCTTTTTTTTATAATACTATGATCATTGAAGACTTAAAACTTCTTAGGATTTTCATCACATCAATGTTTCAGAATAATGTTTGAAAAACAAATAAAAAAATCCTCAATTATTGAAGAAATCTAATAAAGAGATTACATAATTATTTCAAACCTCTTCCAACAGTCTGATCTGATTATATAAGACAACAAGGTTTTTGTTAATCAATAAAGATTTTTATATAACGATAATTGCCTGTTTAATAAAGTCTCTCGACCAAGATAATTAAGGTTATTATCCAAAAATAGAATTGCTTTTCTATTCATCATTTTCCAGAGGTAAAGTACCTGATAGATATTGTTCTATTTCTTTCTGCGATGTGAATCATGCTACATGCACGTTAGTATATCTGTTTGTTCCGTTGTTGTTTACCTTGTTCTCATTTGGGGTACTAACCTTACTTATTTGGATAGATCAAACTTTATATGACGGATTTCTTCAATAAGCAGAAAGGCCTAGCCTTCCAGGACGCATGCACGAATTACGTTTCCTTGTCAATCGTCCTTTCGTTCATATTTTGACCAAGTTTTATTTATTTTGATTTTTAATTAAAAACCAAAAAAGTGTTCCTCGATCTGGATGTTAAATCCACACTTAAGATTGACATGACCAGTCTGTTGTTGTGCTTGTAGATTAGACGTCCAATATCTTGATGCTTGCCTGGAGATATTATTACATTTCCTACATATATAATGAATTAGGCTTGCCTGATAACGAAGGAAACATTACCTTTACATTAAGCAATTTTTGCAAATTAGGAATACTGGCTAATCATAGTTCAGTATAACATTAATTTCTATTGCCCATCAGTGAAAAGGTTACAGACCTACCACGTTTACACCGGGTTCCTAAACTTCATATCAACAGCGTTTCATGTCTGGCTCGGCAAGATATTCATCTCAACCTTTGTCCAACCTTCCTATTACTTTTCTTAGGACTATCAAATCTTATAATGATACTGTTTCTTTAGGAGGTGGAATTAAAATTATCTTAATTTGAAAGAATTCTAAAAAAAGAATATTCCATCCACTTTTCTAAAAAAAAAAAAAAAAAAAAATCTTCTGCATACGTACATTTTATTTTTCTCTCTCTGTACACAACAAGGCCCAATAAAAAACTGACAGGAACATCATCATTTTAGAGTTGTGAACTACAATGAAGCGTAAACCGTGACGTATGTTCAAAGTAATGTGCTGATAACGAAATCCTATAATGATCGGGTTTCAGGTTGACAACATCTTCGTTGAGTTTAATGGTAAGATCTTTAAATAGACTATTGGCATACCTAACTCTAATTTACCGAAGAGCTTGCAAAGTCCTTCAATTTAACTATGAGATGAATTGATGTCATGACCAGGTACAACGTACGATATAGACCCACCAGAATTGGAAATCAAGGACACGTCCGACTCTTCTACATCAATCTGTATGGTAAGTGTGATATCTCTTTTCCTATCTGAATTTTCCATTTCAGGAGAGCAACACAACTGCATTTAAAAAATCTGCCATTTAAATGTCGTAGTTGGTTAGATGTGTCTAGGACCTGTTCCAGATATCACGTCAACAGACAAACAAAACGTTTCCAGATATACAAGTTGATTAAAACCATACAGCTTTTACGGACGACATATTTATGTCATTGAGATATATAATCATTGTTTTGTGCGATGTGACGCTAGCCGTATTTGATGCTCGGTAATTTGTCTGTTTGTTCCGTTAATCTATACATTTGAGAACGCGACTTTACTTTTTGTGGATTTAACATGATTTACATTACGGATGACGATGATGAAGCAGTGGACGTTTATTCTTCCGGAACACTTGGTCTAATTATCCTTGTCTCTGTGTGAATCTTATTTTTGTTCATACTTTATCCTAGTTTCATTGAAATTAAACTTAGATTGGGATGTTGTTCACAAGGCGTTATACATATATCTATAAACTTTGTTATCATGTCGGTGTTTATTGTTACTATGCAAAAGACGTTTCGTTAATATTTTATATTTATAATAAAGTTAGATAAATAATTAAACTGCACCATACATCTGTTTCCCCCTTTTTGGAATCGTCAGTGATTCTAAGATTTTTAATAGCTGAATCCATGGAGTCCACCGAGGAAAATCTAAATTGATGTCGTTCTCAACTCCGGTCAGTTATTTATTTACTGCGCATACACACATAGAGCAATTTTGTAAGTGAAGACATCATTCCACAAAGTTTGACTACGAGAGTAAGTCGGTACATAACGGTTTTTATAGGGGTGGGAGGATATGTCATGATGAGAAGATTCCCTTTCTGTTTGTTTCTCTTTTAAACTACTTACAGAATCTCGCTGTAATATTTGTGAAAAGAATTAACGGCCAGGAAGTTGTTAGAAGAGTGTACAAAGACACACAAATGGATAGCAACAATGAATTACACAGCACCATACAGCTGTTTCGTCCTTCTAAGAATCACCAGTGATGTAACACCATGCAGCTGTTTCGTCCTTCTAAGAATCACCAGTGATGCTACACCATAAAGCTGATTCGTCCTTCTAAGAATCACCAGTGATACTACACCAGAAAGCTGATTCGTCCTTCTAAGAATCATCAGTGATGCTACACCATACAGCTGTTTCGTCCTTCTAAGAATCACCGGTGATACTACACCATAAAGCTGATTCGTCCTTCTAAGAATCATCAGTGATGCTACACCATACAGCTGTTTCGTTCTTATAAGAATCACCAGTGATGCTACACCATAAAGCTGATTCGTCCTTCTAAGAATCACCAATGATGCTACACCATAAAGCTGATTCGTCCTTCTAAGAATCACCAGTGATGCTATGGGCCTAAATGTTAAACCTAATGGGCGGCTAATTCAGACTGATCTATGGAAATGTCAAAATGTAGATGGGAAGATGCACTGCCCCTATAATTCAGTAAATTTTGTAATTTTCATATATCAGATAATTTCAAAAGTACGTCCAGTACATATGTATATTCTGCACCATGTCAGAAATTTTTGAAATTGTATTTTTTTCATCATCATTAACAATAATATTTCGGATAAAAATGACAAAATCATAAATTTCATCAAGATTTAATTTAATAAAGAAAAACGAATGGCATGACAGTACCAAAATGTTTTTTTTCGTTATGATTGCGGTCCAGGTGGGAAGCGATACAACTGTAACACACTACCAGCACCTCGTGAACTGTACAGTAATTGAGTTTTATAGGAAAAGTATCAAATATTTACAAGACACAAAATAATGACTTTACTAGCTGATACCAGCATACTTAAACCAACCTGGGTCTCAAAGTATCTTTCATCGATTTTTTTTATTTGAATTCTTGACATCGGTATGAAACCCGAGAAGAAAAGTAATTCCCATTTGACAAGAATGAGACATTTTGTTGTTTTTTTCCGTTTTAACCAAAACACGGGAATTTAATTCTCAGTGCGAAGAAGTCAAATGGCATTATTTCTATATATGTATTGCGAAATAAGTCAATACTTTGTCATTTTTATTCAACTGGAAACCGTGCGATTTATGCGGAAAAAGGAATTCATTTCCGTCAAGACTTGACTTAGCAGACATTCTTCAGTGCAATAAAATTACATTACAATCACTTCGAGATGACACATTGTAACAAAATGATCCTGTCGAGCTTGCTCTGCCACCTTCAGTTGATAGCCAAAGGAAAGATATATTTCAATGCACAGTTACACATTGTTTCGGTGGAATTCCTTGCTGTCAATAATGGTGTTTTGTAATGAACGATTAGGTAAACATACACGTCGTTTCCTAAGTTATCATCCTGTTCGACGACAACTGGAATGCATTGCAATGGGTGAAACACTAAGCTCTGTTTTGATGTAAATCGCTATATTTTTCAGTTTAAAAATAAATAAATAAATAAATAAATAAAAGGCATAAATGTTTAACATAATATTCGTCCCAGCTTTTACTTCTTTCTTTTTCTAAAGTCACAATCACGTCATATTAAAGGGAAAAAAAATGATATTTTTTATAAAATATGAAGTAACATTTTTATTAAATGCGTTGAAAATTGAAAAGAGCAATTGAAAACTTAAAAAAAGTTTTGCTCCATACATCTACATTTTGAAATTTTGATGTTTCATAGATTTGATAAAGTCTGTGCTAACCGGAAGTGCTTAATATCAATACACTTTGTACGTTCTCCTGTGAAATGATGCGCCGTCAACTAAAGTTGGAAAGAGCAATCAATATCAGATAGTAAACGGCACAATTCATAGTCAGATTAAAATACACAACGGTAAATGTGCAATGTGTCTTGAATGAACCTCACAACTAACACAAGGCGTTTGTTCTTAACACGATCGAAATTCAGCAATCGGTTGTTTACTGTCACAAAATGTTTGATTTGCAACAATGATTCGTTGGAAGTAAAAATATAGAAAACACAGTATATCATTTAAAATCATCATCGTGATCTAACAGTTCATGACAACGTTGTATTGCCACCTCTGGCTGACTGAACATATCGATCCAATGTTCCATGGCAGAAGTCTGAAGAGCATCGGCGGAAAATTTCACCTGTCCTATGACGTAATCACTCCTAATACGGTCATGGTCGTAAACAGAGAATGTAAGTTTGGTCCCTGCCAAATCATCTCTTTTGAATGACATATTGAACACAAAACTTTCGTTGAACACTGGATCTGGAGTACTTTTCTTTGTTTTTGTTGTCTTTCGGGATACTGAACGGCCTGGCTGCACGAGTTCCACGCGTATATAAGGGTCTGCAAAATACGAAAAAAATATAACACATCATACGATATTTCATATCAGCACCGAGAAATATAATCTTTAGATTCAGTTAAATGACGCTGGCCATTGCTGTAACTAGTCACGGATTAACGTAGGTGTGGGTTGTGATTAGTCACGGATTAACGTAGGTGTGGGTTGTGACTAGTTACGGATTAACGTAGGTTTGGGTTGTGACTAGTTACGGATTAACGTAGGTATGGCTTGTGACAAGTTACGGATTAACGTAGGCGTGGGTTTTGACTAGTTACGGATTAACGTAGGTGTGGGTTGTGACTAGTTACGGATAATTTGATAACAGTCAAGGTGGATAAAATATAAGGCGAAGGAAGACCTTGGAAAATGTTGGTTGATTCAAAATGTATTTTATCTAAAAAAAAAATGCCGGGCTAGTTATATCAAGAATGACTTCAAATGCAGATTAAATTGAAAACCAAAAATGAACGTTACATAACTTTTAACTAGGATCGAGAATAACTTTCATATCTTTATTTCACCTACATGGAACAAATGTTCCAGAAACCTACGGTGACTTAATCATCCATTTGAGCTGCGAACGCATTATTATCATATCAGCTATTTCTGGGCAGAATAGTATTGCGATATGACTGTATGTCGGTTTGTCTGCGGAGTTTAAACACGACTGGAGGTTTTTTTTAAATGGTACAATTGAATGACGACTGTTCAGTGGCTTCTAGTCATTTCACATATAAAGACGGCGATAGAGTACCAACACCACACACAACCTTGTTTTATTGCGACAGAAATGCAGCAGCCAATCAAACCAGCATAGTATAAGTAGACAGTATTAAATATCATTTTATGAATAATTGATAACAACGATATATCAATTTGAAAGTCATGACAACCGTATCTTGGAACATAATGATTATTTTCTAGGTATTAAAAGGTATTCTATACAAGAAACTCATCAGGTTTAATGATTGTAGGTTTTCTGAAGCAACCAGTTGAAAATAAAACGTGAGACGTGATACGTTGGTCTGTGACAATTTGAAAGTTAAGAAGGTTAGTATGTTAATGATTCTAGAACCATACGTAGGTCAACATTCTGTAGGTTTACAACGTTTATAGGATGGAAAGTAGGTCGACATCCTGTAGATTTACAACATTTATAGGGTGGAAATTAGGTCGACATCCTGTAGGTTTACAACATTTATAGGGTGGAAATTAGGTCGACATCCTGTAGGTTTACAACATTTATAGGGTGGAAATTAGGTCGACATCCTGTAGGTTTACAACATTTATAGGGTGGAAATTAGGTCGACATCTATGGGTGAGAGTAGGTCGACATTCTGTAGGTTTACAACATCAATAGGATGGAAAGTAGGTCGACATTCTGTAGGTATGTCGACGAATTGTATGTTTAGTGAAAGAACTCCAGAGTTGTAAGCTCTAGGTGAATAATCTGTGGCACCCTGGGTCTGTTTAGAGGAACAAATGACTAGGTGTACTTTAGGATTACAACTTAAGAACTGTTGATATTAAGATCCTATGTAGGTTTCATAGAACACAACTGGAGCAACACGCGAACGAAGGGGATACTCAAATATTTTACTTCAGTGTCAACTGAAGCATGATAACTTTTAAATCTAATCCTTTGATCTTAATTATAATTCCATGTCAGCAGAATACCGAACAGAGTGCTGTATACCTTACTGAAATATCAGACACAAAACATACATTTATAAAACTGATATATTAGTAATTTCGCGATAAACTTTAGTAGAAGCTTTGTTACCATCGATAAATTTACTACTATAAAGTGGAATTGTATGCAGAATCCATTCTGTATATATATATATTGTACATTGTCAGTAAAAATCGCAAGCCATCTATTGTTATTTTTTTTTTACATTGGTATTAATTTAGTTTCTATGATGCGCACTTTATAAATGGGAACAGTGATGTTATCATTAAGAAATAGATCGGAAAATGGTAGGGCATAGCGCTGAAGTTCTTACCCGGGTGACCTGTGATCGGGTGATGGGGAAGCCCCTTCGCCTGTACAACCGTCACTAGGATTGAACCCTCGCTGGATTGAAACTTTAGACAAATTTCGATGCTGCCCAAGTCCTGTAAAAATAATAACAAATAAAAAACATTCTGTGAGATACAACGTTAATGTTTGCATCATTTCTGTTGCCTAGGTTACGTAAACCTGTAAACATATAATATTGATTCCGACATGGATAGTTATTGTGATCACATAGACCCGAAGATGCATTAGCACGTTTAATGTGCCATTGTTATTCCGTGATTTTGGAACAACAAGACTAGTGATATCCTTACCACGTTTTTTTAACACGAGGGAATACAGGTGTAATTCAACCATTAGTGATGAACCGAGTTTCGCCGTAATCTGCCTGGCACGTTTTACTTGTTAGAATAGAAACACTACTCACATTACACAAATGTACATTTATTTGACGTTCTTCTAAAAATCATCGGATATATAGACAGTACAAAGTGTTTGGTTAATGCACCTCTCCATCTAGACTTTTAAAATTTTCATTTCATGACTTTGGATTTTCCTCAATCGCGTCCAAGGCTTTACAATTTAGCTACCTAGCATCTCTGAAGAGTCCTGAAGGGACGACAAAGCTGTATGATACGGTTAAAGGCAATGCTAAGCTCTATTGTATCTAACTCAAAATTTGTTTGAAGAGGTGCTACATACTTGTATGTCTTTTGTATAATCTTCTACACAAATAAGATATTAAAAGAAAAGAAGAGATTGGAGAATTAGTTTGCTTCCTACCTCACACATCCCTAGCGACCTTTAAGAGAGTTGTGGACCCCCTACAGGTCTCCTGTTGTTCTTACTTTTATAGATGGACGGAAACTACCCTCGACATTTTTATACCGCCCACCATATTAACCCGGTTTCTCCCCTCGCTCTTTCATCATTACCCGATCATCATTGTTTTGTTTTCATCATTTTACCTTTATGCTAATTTCCAAACAAGCAATTAATCCCGGATCGGCCTGCATATTTATAAAACATCTCTATTGAACGTTTGATTAATTGCCTTGTTTACACGGTTTTGAACACTTGCTAAGCGGTTTTGTATATTGTTTGTTTTATAAAGAAAGAACGGTTTTCCTTAAATACATGTACAACAGTGTAAAATGCCACACGGTTGAATTTTGCATGAACGACACGACATGTAAAAAGATATTTATCATTAATGGTTTTGTCCAGATCAATCCTAACGAACATATCTAACATAGATGATCAGGTGCCTTTACTTTTTTATGATTATTGTCTGTGATGTGTCTATACGGATCATCGTAGCACTTGACGAGACATATACATCACGAGACATATATACCTCACGAGACATATATATCACGAGACATAGACATCACGAGACACATATCAGACTAGACATATATACCTCATGAGACACATACATCACGAGACATATACATCACGAGACATATACATCACGAGACATATATACCTCACGAGACATATACATCACGAGACATATATACCTCACGAGACATATAAATCACGAGACATATACATCACGAGACATATATCAGACTAGACATATATACATCACGAGACACTCACGAGACATATATCAGACTAGACATATATACATCACGAGACACTCACGAGACATATATCAGACTAGACATATATACCCCACGAAACACATATCAGACTAGACATATATACCTCACGAGACACTCACGAGATATATATCAGACTAGACATATATACCTCACGAGACACATATCAGACTAGACATATATACCTCACGAGACATATATCAGACGAGACATTTATACCTCACGAGACATATATACCTCACGTGACAAGTACTCCACGAGACATACATGTATATACCTCAAAAGACATACATGTAAATACCTCATGAGACATATATCAGACGAGACATATATACCTCACGAGACACATATCAGACTAGACATATATACCTCACGAGACATATATCAGACGAGACATATATACCTCATGAGACATATCAGATGATACATATATATCTGGTAAGGCACATATCTCACGAGACAAATACCTAACGAGATATATACTGGCAAGTTATATCTATCTGATGGGAGATATACCTGACAAACCTATATTCATGTACCTTACGAAACATACACTTCACGAGAAATACATATCGTGATACAAGTACAGTTGTACACTAAATGAGACATATACACCACGATATATACATGTACATATCTCGAGATATACACTTATGTCACCTACATCTCACGAGACAATTACTTAATGAGACAAACATAGCTGGTGAGACATAGCTCACGAGACAAACATGTACCTGGTGAGACATAGCTCACGAGACAAACATGTACCTGGTGAAGCATACACCTGACTAAGCAAAACCTTCTCTAGACATATCCCTAACGAGAAATATACATGATGTGACGAGAAATTCATGACGCTACACAGATAGGGACGACGAAATGTTAACCTATTTAACGATCTGACGTACGTGTTTACTGTATTTGGGAATCAACATTTTCGAATAAACAGGCCAATGACCTTTCGAAACTCCTCGCTCATTACAGGAGCTCGTTATAGCACCGCTAACAGAAAATGATTGCAGGAATATTATGCCTCTGATTTTTTTTTTCGCATGACAACGTTCCAAGTAGTGTTTATTAAAGCATCAGGATTTGTTCTACAACAGCGGAACACGAGATTAATCAAACTACATACGGAACTCTCAACGCCTCATTACACCTTTTTCAAATGGGCATTGGCTTTGAAAGGAGACACAACTTGAACAAGACGAACGTACCCAGAAAAACAAAAGTAAATAAGATGTATTTTGTAAGTTAAGACGAAAATGTATTTGATAAAATATCAACATGCTTTTGATTCCAACTTAAAGGAAATGTGGACAAATTTCTTCTCCGTTTTTCACGGACGTTGGAGTTTATCGATATCATCTGATAGTATGCTTCAAGGTGTCTTCGAACCACAGCTAACATCGTATTTACTTCCGCCTCCGTGTTAAGAAAACTTCATGTGGAAACTGCTACATCTGACCCTAGTGATTTTATTTTAAAACTAGCTTTAAGACTTTATAACATTATCGAGGATGTGATGCAGATTAAGCTTTTCAATCTCCAACAACTTACCACAGGGAGTAGACCAAATAGATTTCGGTATGTTTTAACACTAGAGACCCGCTAATAGCCCATCATGATTCCAATACTAAATAGCCCCTGTTAATTTCAGGCCCATTGCATCGAAACTTTTCGCTTTGAAATAAAATTTGCCACAACTGAATGTAGCAGGCATACAACATTTTCTCTTTTTTCCTAAGTATTCTTCTATCTCTTCGTCTCACAACTACGGTCCAGGTAGGCAAATACTGACCGGTGATTGAAGCATAAGCTCAGAGCTTTTTCAGTGTCCAAAATATTATGAAACCCCATCTATTCATAGGATTGGGAATCTCAAGATTGTATGGCAGAGAATGCGTAAAATGAGAACGTGCTGCGTTGGGTTCCGTTTCAGAGTGGTTTAATTCATTTTTTAAAATAAAGAATGAAAAAAAAACAGATTTATTCTAAATTGAAAATGAAACAAACTGCTCTATTCCTTAATCCAGATGTTAGATCCAAACTTCACGATTTACATGACATATGTATTGTGTCTACAGATTAGGCGTTCAATACCTTTATCCTGGTTTGTATACATTATTACATCACATGCCTACATAAAGGACTAGGCCTGCGTGATAATTAAGGAAACCTTTCTACACATCATCCAATCAAGAAATACATGATAACTATGCTGAAGTATAAGATTTACAATCGATCGCATTTTTCATCCTTTCGTACTGTAGGATTCCTTTAAACAGCGTTTCATTGCTGGATCGTTCAGTTGTTCAATCAAACCTTTGTCAAAGTTCCATACTGCCAATGTTTGAACCATTTTCTCTAAAGTCTTAAAATCGAGTCATGGAATTTCTTGTACTTATATTTGAATTTTAAAAAATTAGTGGAAAAATTCATCCATATCAAAAACGAAAAATACATGGGAAGACATCATAAAGAATGACCGAATTTCCTGTTGATGATATCGTCCTCGATTTTGGTGGTAAGAGCATCCAAAAGACAATTGACATACCTATGGGAAGAAACTGGGGACTTTGTTTTCATACGGGGCTAACCATATATATACTATACAAATATAACCCTACAACCATGTACATCAGTAACCATATACATACTGTAAAAATATAAACCTACAACCATGTACATCAGTAACCATATACATACTGTACAAATATAAATCTACAACCATGTACATCAGTAACCATATACATACTATACAAATATAACCCTACAACCATGTACATCAGTAACCATATACATAGTGTACAAATATAACAATACAACCATGTACATCAGTAACCATGTACATCAGTAACCATATACATACTGTACAAATATATACCCACAACCATGTTCCTCAGTAACCATATACATACTGTACAAATATATACACAACCATGTAAACCATATACAACCATGTACATCATACTTCAGTAACCATATACATACTGTAAAAATATATACCCACAACCATGTACATCAGTAACCATATACATACTGTACAAATATATACCCACAACCATGTACATCAGTAACCATGTACATACTGTACAAATATATACCCACAACCATGTACATCAGTAACCATATACATACTGTACAAATATATACCCACAACCATGTACATCAGTAACCATGTACATACTGTACAAATATATACCCACAACCATGTACATCAGTAACCATATACATACTGTACAAATATATACCCACAATCATGTACATCAGTAACCATATACATACTGTACAAATATAGCCCTACAACCATGTACATCAGTAACCATATACATACTGTACAAATATATACCCACAACCATGTACATCAGTAACCATATACATACTGTACAAATATATACCCTCAACCATGTACATCAGTAACCATATACATACTGTACGAATATAAAAATACAACCATGTACATCAGTAACCATATACATACTGTACAA